CGCCAGACATCACTTCGGATAACGCCGCCCCAGCGGAATGATGTGCTTTCCGTAGTCAATCTTCTTCCAGCTATTCTCCGTTATTCTGTTTATAGAGTAAACTATTCCTACTACTCTGGCTTCTACCGACTTCTCCTCTCCTGAGGAACCATGGTCTGAACATCGCAGTTGCTAGGGTTTAACTTACTTAACACCCTGCGATAGACGTACTAACCTGCTCAACTGAAGGCCAACAACTCGCCGATCGTCAATGAGTTCAACTTTTCGTGTTTTGTTTGACGCGGCTCCATTGATGTTACTCAGCACCTCTTAATGAGACTCATGTTGTGTGACTGCATTGATCATCACTTTGCAGGAGGGTTTACGCTTCACCTTATTTTATTTCCGAGGAAATTAATGGGTGAACTTGGAGTAATTCCTTTGGAACAAACTTTTTCGGGCTCGGCGCGAGACTTCATATGAATATTTGAGACGACATCCATCAGCCACTGCCGAGTAGCCGCATAATATTCACAAACTACCAAAAGTCAGTCAGTAATAAGTAATCATTTACCGTAATGAAAGCGCACGTACTAGCTAAAATCGCGGCCACGTATTCTGCCGATGTAGTGCCACTGCCTGACGCAGTTGCGAGGAGTCCGGCTCATCGGTGGACCAACCAGCGTTCCCCGCGTGCTTTCTAGTACATTCACTGCAGTTTTAGCTCGTCTTGTTTGATATCCGAGGAAATAAATGCGCAAACGAAGAGTAAATCCTTCGGAACAGAACTTTTTGGGTAAGGTCCGAGACTTAATATCAATGATTTGGCTGAAATCCCTCCACCATTGCGGGATATCCGCGTTATATTCACAGGCTGCCGGCAGACAGTCAGTAGGATAAACTAATTAATTATTACTTGAAGAAGTATATGCGATATAGTTTACGCCTCGCACAGGTTCCAGCGGAGATTACATAATATGTGATTCATGCAGATGACCTTGGTTGCGTCACACCAAGTATCACAATTACGTGGGACCCAAAGGCCTTCTGCGCCTCTGCATTATAAGTTTCTTAACATTTACACACAAGCCCTCAGTGCGCATTGTTTAGCGAGTTTCACAGATCCATCCGCCTCGGATAAACTGTAGTTTAGGTAGTGTTACCGGCAGACTTTAGTAACTCTTTTGACGCAATTGTGAAAAAAACCCGACGACCTTGGTGGAATTTGAACCCATGACTGCAAGGGCGGGGCCTTGATTCAGTAACCGCTCTAACCACATGAGCTACGCGGTCCAGATCAGGAGACGCGAGTTGAAGTACATTTGGGTCAAGTTTACAAAAGCATTTTGTAGAACAAAACTGCAGAATTTGGCAAAATTTAATTTTTAAAGCTGACTTCTTTTGATGGAACGCAACGAGTGACCTTTTTACGATATTTAATTTCCGAAGAGATTAATTAAAGTAGGATGGAAACCGGAGTTTATATAGCAGAAAACGGGCGGACGACGCTGGGGGGACGCACTCAGGGGCTGACTTCCTCACCGTTGTGTCATGTACCGACACACGCGTGTCGGTACCTTTAGTTAGTATCCATGGCGCCAATACGGTAAATAATTACGCAGTATATACTAATGACTGTATGTTTACTGCTTGTGAATACTAAGCGGTTACCAATACAAGCGAACAGGTGAGCCCCAGGAAGTAATTGAGAAGAAGATCCGATCGCTAGGATAACACTTTTATTTA